GAGCCGTCCTTGTACCAGACCTGCCCGCTCACTCCGGAGAGTCTCCGGCTACCGGCGCCCCACTCGTTTCTCGTTGGATACTCCACAATAAACTTGCAGTTGAAGCGATAATACGAGTAATACGATCACCCCTGCTTAGATGGACGGGGTCCTCCCTTTGCAATTCGACTAAGATGGCAGTATGCCCCTTGACAGGATTCAAGAAGGCCAGCTGCCCTGACTCCACAGTCGACGAGCGACGCTTCACCGGGGATCACCAGATCCAATGGTAGGAGATCCAGCAGAGCTTCCATTGCACTCAATGGCGCTTGTAATGCTAATATAGGCCAAACGCTGAATTTTATTGAGTTTGGCCTCGGTTGTCTCAGCTCTAATGCAGTGCCACCAGACCAGGGAGCCGTACAATAGAGATGGACGTACTATTGTTGTGTAGAGCCAGTATACCACTTTGGGCTTAAGCCACCACCTTACACCGACAACACGTCTACAGGCCCCCATTGAATTGCTAACCTCGTATTCAACATGCTCTCTCCAGTTCAGTTTGCAATCCAGGATAATTCCCAGATATTTCACTGATTGGGATAGAATTAATCTAGTCCCAGAGAAGGTCGGCATGACCAGCCCGTCAAGCCTTCTTCTCCTAGTGAATAGGATCAGCTCGGTCTTTCTAGCATTAACAGAAAGATCGACTTCCCTTCACCACGATTCCAAAAACGTTCCCTAACTACTATGCTCAAGTCATCAGCATAGGCTTGCATGTAGAACCCACACGTCTGAGCCTAACGAGAAGTTCGTTCACCACGATGCACCACAGTAGGGGTGACAGAACTCCGCCCTGAGGGCAACCTCTAGCTACGCTGACGCTGCAGCTTACGTGATTCAGCATAGCTGTTGCAACCCGACCCTCCAGAGTAGATGGGATCCAATCTATTAAGATTGATCCAACCCCGTGTCTAACCAAGGCATGTCTGATAGAGTCGGTTCTAGTGCAATTAAATGCACCTTCAATGTTCAAAAAGGCCACGGGTGCCACTTCTCGCGGATCTAGAGTCTTCTCCAGCCTACCGACCAGATTGTGTAAGGCCAGATCCGTCGATTTCCCAACTTGTATGCAAACTGATTTGCATGAATGACACAACTTTCCAGCGGGCCATCCCTTAAGTATCTATCAACTATCCTATCCTATCCGTACTGGGTGTATTCACGTAGAGTATGGTAGAAATATACCTCGGTCGAATACGACCACCTTAAGGTTTCATACCCTTTCTAAGGCGTGTCCGTAAAATAAGTTCCACAAATTTTTTTCATATCAAAAAATTGGTTTAATTGTAAAGAAAATACATTTTTGGATAGTTCAGTCTTTCTTTTATTTTTCTACATAATCGCCGTTGCGTTCTATGCCGCTCTGCATTCGAGGCACCCACTTCTTCAAACCAGAGTCATAGAACTCTGCCGCCTGTCCGTGTAGAAAACTAACAACCGCGTTTTGCATCTGTCTGGAATTGGGTTCCGCCAAGGTTTTTCTTCAACTCAGGGAAGAGATGGAAGTCACTTGGTGCTAAGTCTGGGCTGTAGGGTGGGTGAGACACCATTTTCCATCCAAATCTTTCGATGAGGGCTGTGGTTCGATTGGCGGTGTGCGGTCGGGCATTGTCATGGTGAAAACGCACTCCTTTCGTCAGCATTCCTCTTCTCTTGTTCTGAATGGCACGTCTAAGTTTTTTCAAGGTCTCACAGTACCGGTCAGCATTGATTGTTGTCCCGCGAGGCATAAACTCGCGCAACAATACGCCCTTTCGATCCCAAAAAACGCTAGCCATGATTTTCCCGGCAGACAGGATTTGTTTGAACTTCTTTGCTCTTGGTGAAGAAGAGTGCTTCCACTGCTTCGATTGCTCCTTTGTTTCCGGTGTGGTGTAGTGTACCCAGGTCTCGTCACCAGTAACAATAGAGTCCCGAAATTCCTCTTCGGTTGTTCCGTGAAAAGCGAGAAATTCTTGGGCCGCTTCAACCCGCTGCCGCCGGTGGTCTGCAGTGAGCATTCTTGGTACCCATCTTGCGCAGACCTTTGAATAGCCTAAGTGTTCAGTCAAAATCTTGTCAATTGTGGTTTTGCTGACCGGAATCTTTGTGCACAGCTCCCGAACTGTAATCCGTCGATCTTCAAGCATTGCCGCTTCGACTTTGGCAATTGTTTCGTCGGAAACCGATGGCCGCCCTGCACGGGCTTCGTCGTGGACGTCTGTTCGGCCATTTTTAAAGTCCCTGACCCATCTGCGCACCATCCCGCAGCTCATACAGTCTTCTCCATACACTTGGCAAAGTTCTTCATGAATTTCCTTCGCCGATTTCTTCTTAGCGGCCAGGAAACGAATAACAGACCGCAACTCGCAGCTGGCGGGAGACGCAAGAGGAAGCTCCATCGCTGACGGCTGCTGAGCCAAGACTAAACGTCGCAGCGACGCTGGCTTGGTGAGGGATTGGAGTGGGGGAACCAAACAATCTGCCTCTGTTGCCTCGCTGTGGATAGAAACAATCCTAGCACCAGCGGCAGCCCGTGGAACTTATTTTACGGACAAGCCTCGTATAATATTAAAGATAAAAAACCATAATAGTTGTCTACGAAGAGTGGCTATTAAACTTTATAATAAATGCGAAACAATACAAAGACAGTATTTTTAACAGTAAAAAAATGAAATTTACTATATTTCCGACGAGGTAGGTAAATATGCCCATATATGTGGCCATATTTAATGTATGAACAAATTTTTCAAATATCTACTGAATGGAAAAATGGGTGTTAGGTTATAGACAACTTTTATTTGACAGACATTGTTTGGGCAACATCCAATACAATAAAGAGCAAGGCTCTTCTTTAACAATTAAGGTTTAAAGATAATCAAACTAACAATGAGATACAAACTGTAAGTTTTACTAGACAATGAACAATATTATCAAAAGGAAAAATTGTCATATCTTACCGCTTTTGATTGCAGTTAAAGCTAATTTCATATTACCCTCTGACCAATTACTTTACACTTATAGCATGCCATAGAAATTTTTTGTTTTCATTTTCACGTATGAAAACACACTATTACTTTGATAAATAAACAAAGAAATACCAAATTACAATTGTTACACAACACCGAATGTGAATAGGAAAGATTCATATTTGAAATATAATAAAATACAGGACAAGTGTCTTTATAACGTCAACACTGCTTTTCACTATAATGAACGCGCAGCGGCTAGCGGTTGCGCGGGAGGGGTGAAAGATACGCCGTTGGGACACATGCGACACTAGCGACAATCTAGGGTCGCGTTGAGGTTATAACGTTTGGAATAATGATATATGGCCATATTTACCGGCTAGCCATATTCGCTCTAGGTACTCGTACCTTACTGTGTTGCTATGTGAATCGCTCAGTTATTGTTCATAAACAGGGATGAATTAAATAAGGCTAAGAAACGAAAGTAAATACATATTTATTAACGGCACAGCATACGATCAATTCTGCTTAAGTCGTGATTTTGGAAGGTGAACAATGCAAAACATTACTAAATAACTGATATTGGAAATAGTGGGACACTTTGCATGAATTAGACTCGGCTTTTCTAAATACTTGTCGTGAGCCCAGCAAATTCTTGGCTAAAAGCAAATACTTAGTTGAGCATAATATTTCAGCTATTATATCATTGTCACTATGTCCAATAAAAATATTTGGAAGTATTGTTATTAATTCGATATCGATAGTTTTTTTTTGTACTGAGCTTCCTCCACAGAATCTCGTGGCACTAAAATGAAATCGTAAGATTACTACTTATAACGTGAAAGTACTTTTCCTAAGAACTTTAAGATTCAAAGATAAAGTTCAATTTTAGTTTAGTTTCATTAATATTTCGGTTGGTCCTTCTCAGAATCCATCAAAAAGTTTGGTTTGTCTCCAATATTAGATATACAATTCTGTTAACAAACCTAAGATTGGGACTGAGCGCTCAATGGAAACAAGAAGTGATAATATGAAATAAATAATCAAAATTACCTCTCAACTATCCAGGTAGAAGCTGTTGAAGTGCATACACTTTTGCAACGGTGATAACTATAATATTATCTCAGTTATCGATAAAGGGGATTTGCTCTTATTCAGATTAAACTGCTTTTTGCAAACAGAAACCTTCACCATTTTCACAACACTCTGGAACACTAGGATTGTAGGGAACCCACGGACTGTTATATGTATATTCATATTCTGCTTTCATCCATCCGATAACAGACCTAATCCGATGCTGTTTCGTACTTTCTGGCAAGTTATCAGCAGTGTCTAGGCTTTTCTGGGACAGCGAACGAAAACATAACTATCTTATTTCGATAGATCGCATACCATAGATAAAGGATAGTTGCTATACTTCCTTTCGTTGTCCCAGACACCAAACCTAGACCATACTGCTCAGTTGCCTAAAAGCACAAAACAGCTGTCTATGAGTGGCTTTCTGTGGTCGAACGGACCAAAGCAGCACATTTAATTTAAGCTATCTTAGAACACTTCTGCCCACCTGTTGAATCTTTTAGTTGATGTAGGAGGGTGTATCTCGCTGGTACTCAGAGTTCCAGTTATGCGATGGCATTACAATTTTTTTTCTTAACGCCTCCAAGACGAGAGCTTTGTTTTTGAAACACACAGCTATAATATTTGAGGAATTCAGAGATTTTTTAATTTGAACGTGTAAGCAAAGAAGTATTGTGTAATTGCGTAACTTAATTTTTGAAAATGAAATGAAAACTTTTTGGTCCACGGATACGTTTGCTCTACGCGTTGCGATCTACATCAAACCATATTTAAAAAATATAATAAAAATAGCCGAAAACTATTAAATAATTTTTCTGTGGAATCTTTTGCAGCGTTTGCAGCTCTAATGATGATTATATACGGATTGTCAAACTTGACAACATGACGTTAATTCCTGTGAAAAAGAAACAATTATCTTCTCTTTTTTTCCAGATGTGGTCAAGAGACACGTGTGATACCCCGTCTGTTACAGATGCGATTCCACTGGATGAAATCCGAAAAGGAATCGATGCGATTGGAACAGGCGGGCATCACGAAGCCGGTTATGGACGCTGCTATTGCTGCGTTCATGCTAGAGGTAAGTCAGATTTTCGCACATACATCAAAATATTAAGATAATTGAGTAGTTTCGGATAGAATCTACAATCTATACATACAGGGAGTTCGAGATAAGGATCCTATGCATAGGGATCTTATAAGTTATGGGAGATACAGCTTTTTAGGTAATGTGAAAAAACTAATGAAACTTTTCCATTGGCACTTTCTAGGCACTACATGATGGTATTTTTAAATTTTGTGCCCGACGTTTCGTTTTTGAGAAACCATCATCAACTTTATTTTTTTATATGGTCCAAAAAACTACACACTTTATCTAATAGCATTTTTTATACGAATTCGAAGAGGTTATAAGGAAAATTAGACGTAAATACCTGTCACCGAGAAAGAGGGCATCAAAGTAAGTCCATTTTCTTAGAGTTGGCTCGAAATTTAAATGAATATGGTCTTTAGATAAAACTCAGAATAGTGTTTTGCAAGCAGTTACTGAGAACTCTGACATATCAACTAGGCACATTGAGAAGAATGTAGGAGTAGCCAAATCCACAGCCCAACTTATTTGGCGTAAAAATAAAGATCATTCCTATAAAGTCAGGATCTGCCAAGTACTTAGACCATGGGATGTCGAAAGACGCCAGCATTTTTGTGACTGTTACACACGAACATGTGAAGAAGATTTGTATTTATTTTCAAAAATAATATGGTTCGACGAGAGTATGGTCAGTAATTATGGTATGTTTTATCTCTCACACACTTATTACTGGATTCAAGAATATCTGCGGGATAAAAAAGTATCTAGACATCACAAATGTTTTGGGTTTAATATGTGGTGTGGAATTCTAGGAATCAAAATATTGGGTTCATTTATTTACCACAACTCATTAACTGCAGAACGGCACCCTCAATTGTTGCAACATGATCTAGAAGACTGCCGTGATAATTTACCTTTGGCACAGTTTAATAGTCGTTGGTTTCAACAAGAAGCTACTCCTGCACATAGCTGTAGGCAAGTTCAAGAGAATCTTCTCAGCGATTCCCCGGACGGTGGATTGGAACCTCCAGTAAAGTGTCCTGGCCAGCGCGCTCCGCGGATTCAAATCATCTGGACTTTTTAGCTTGGAGTTCTATTAAAAACCAAGTTTATCAGCATACTGTTGAAACTGAGCCGCATTTACGAGAATGTGTGACGAAAGCATTTAGTATGATTCCACCAGAAATCTTACGTGATGTTTTGAATTCTTCTGTTAGAAGATCATGTCTATGTTCAGAAAATAATGGCAACCTACTTAAAGTTCGACTTTTTAAAAATTTTGTTTTTTTGATTTTTAAGTTACAATGCACAGATACAATAGCTGAACTGTATGATAAAATAACATAAACATATATCGTTAAAAGTCTACCTCAAGTCTGTCGGGCCGTTGTTCATTCGCACTGAAGTAATCTCTGCAGGTTCACCACATTCCTACGGTGGCGTGATGCTGGGTCTATTAGAACGTAAGGGATTTGTAGCAACTTAACTCCTCCATCGTTAGAAGGAACTCGGGGCGGAGTTACTTGAGTTCCGACCACCCTTGTAGTAATGGTCTGGGGTTCTTCTTTCTTGATTTTCTTGAACAGGTACCATTTGGTAAAAATTATGTAGCTGATCACCAAAAGAGCAAGGGCTGAGATAATATCAGATGATCTTGAGTAGATTTTCTGTAAGTGGACCACTTCTCAACTTTCTTCGTCGGAGTCTTGAAGCTGGATTTGGTGTAGCTTGTCTAGGGATACTTTTTCTAGAGTAAACCTCTTGACTGGGAGTCTTGGTATGCTAACTCCTTTGATTTCTGATAAGAAGATCGGGTGTCCGAGTATAACTCCTTTTTCATTTTTGTACGTAAATTTCGGTGTCGTATTTTACATGCCTTGTTGTTTTTGGATTAGGATAATTAATTATAGCATTGATCTTATCAGGGTTGGGCTTGATCCCATCCGGAGTGATAATGTGGCCAAGGAAGGCAGCATTTTAAATTGCTTTCTCTCATTTTTTTTAATACTGTTTTCAACTTAATTGTGTACTCTTGGAGTGAAGTGGAAAATACAATATCATCAATATATGCTAAACATATTTTATTTTGCAATTCTCTTTGGGCACCGTCCATGACTCTTTGAAATGTCGCAGGGGCGTTCTTCAAGCCGAAAGACATCCTAAGGGCGTGTTCGATATTGAATGCTGTTTTTGGTATATTTTCTGGATGGATTTGGTGAAAACCGCTAGCTAGATCTAAGGTAGACAAGTACATACATCAACCAAGTTTGTCAAGTATGTCATTAATATTAGGTATGGGGTAACGGTCGTCGATGGTTTTCAGATTTAGCTGTCTATGACCTACTATGTCCGCCATTTTTTCTTGCCACTGGCATCGGGCTTCTTCGTTATGATCCCTGTAGAGCTATTCCAGGGTGAACCACTGGGCCTAATAATTCCTTGATTGAGCATGTCATTGATTTGTCTTTCGACCCCTGGCTTATGCACAAAAGGATACTGATATCTGTGGTTTTTATTCTATGCTTGATCTGATTAGTGAAAGTTAGCCTACTATCAATATGATATTTTTCTTCGTCATTCAAATGGTTGGTTCGTATCAGATTTGTAATGTCTGATTTGTCAATACAGTTTACGCCATCTTCCGGGATTGTCGTCGCATGGTAAAATTCAAACATCCTATTGTCAAAATAGTCAACCTTTATAGGCGAATACAAATAAGTATCTTTAGTTTGATTATATTAATTCCAATTATCGACAGGAGCGTAACCATTCTCAGCAGTACTGAGATCTTCTCTGATTTTGCAATCAGATATGGTTGTAGGAGGGATAATAATATCACCATTAGCTATAGATACAAGAATTTTGACCTATTCCTCAATGAAAGGTTCTATCCTTGTGAAGAATAGAAATTATTCCTTTGGATTCGTAATGAGACAAAGGAAGTTCGGATTTAGAGTGAAAGGTTTTAGATTTCTTTCAGCACATATTTCACAGATTTCACAATATTTCAGTGATTGGTAACAGTCCATCAAAAGGTAGAAGAATTTAATTCGGAAAATGCAGGAAAATCGGCACAAAGGTCACGTGTTGTGGTTTGGAAAATTGAAGAAATTGTGAATGGTTCTTTCCGTATATTTTCGGTATAAAAATTTTCAGTGGCGTAGTGTGCACACACCCATTTAAAACCGGCACGGTGATGATCCCAGGATTCATGTTCAGGAAGATGTTCACGTCAGGGGAACGGGGGTTGCGCGGATTGTCTAACTGGTAGTGATTATGATCCTTCATGAACTGATGACGGCGTTGTGTGTGAAATACAGTCAATCTACTTGACGCGATTTTTTTATCCATTACAAAGTAGTTCCGAATAGCGTCTTAGGATCAGCTTATCTGATCGTTAATTTTTTATAGCTTGTTCTACTTTTGTAAAGCGTTACCTATATGTCATATCGCTAATAGTGGTACACAGGGCCGATAATCCATAGTATATTGGCATTAGCAAACTTACTGACACGTAACCAGCTAGTAGATACCGTATGTATATACCGGGTGTTTCAACTTCGACCCTCACCATTGGGGTCTTGCAAACGGTAAGAGATACGAAGTGGCTCAAATGGAGGCAAACCTGCGTATTTAGGTAGAGAGACGGAAATTTTCCCAAAACCGTTTTAATTTTCTCCTGACTTTATTTTTAGTGGAATTTCAAAATAAATTACACATTAACTTTGCCACATTTTCTTCTCTACAAGATGGTATAATTTGAATTTCAATATGACGTTTCGTCTTTTGTCCTCCAGCATCAACTTCACTTTTGTCATGGAAGCCATATTGGATTTTTGCAGAGATTTTGTAATTCTGATTCAAAACAAATATATAAAATGTCATACGGTGATATTGTCAAATCTGTATTGTTTCAAAAAATAGAATTTCTTTGAATTATCAGATAGTCATTTGTTTCGTATACCGGATTTATTGGAATATCGTTGTTTGTTTCCTGGTTTTATTCGAGATCAGATATTAAAATAAATTGCTCATTAGCATTGCTACTCTTTCTCCTCTACAGGTAGTCAAATTTTGAATTTGATCTCCATCCTCAACTCATGTTTTTTTTTTCATCGACTGCCTATTGAAATTTTGTGCGATCGAGCAGAATTTTTGATTCCGCATTTAGTTATGAATATAATATATTTATTTATATCAGGATAAACTTCGCATATATAATTAAAGTAATATATTCTTAGTAGTATTTAAACGCACAAAATTCCAATATAGCGTCCATATGAAAAAACATGGTTGTTGATGGAAGTGGAAAGAGGAAACCTCAAATTAGAAATTTGAGCACGGCATCTTGTAGAGGAAAAAAGTGGCAATGACAGCATGCAACTTATTTCGAAATTGCATCTAAAATAAAGTGAGGAAAAGATAAAAATGATTTTGTGATAAATCTGGTAACGGAAACAAATAATGACTATCGACAATTTCAAGCGTCAATCCCTACCTAGGAAATAATGTTTTTCTGAGATTTAGGATTTATCAATGTCCAATGTATGACACGTCATACTTTTTTGAAATCACAGTTAAAAATTCTATTGATCTGTGCGAAGATCCAATATGGCGTCAAAGTGGCAATGTTAATGTGCAATTTATTTTAAAATGTCACTACAAACAAAGTCAAGAGAAAATTAATAATTAATAAATGAATAATTGCTCTCTCTTTTCGGGAGTTCTTTGAATTGTCAAACTTTCTAAGTGGCATTTTGTTGGTTACCTAAATACGCAAGTTTCCCCCTATTCAAGCGACTTCGTATCTGTTACCGTTTCCGAGATGCCAATGGTGAGAGTTGAATTTGAAACACCCGGTATAGGAACTCATTTGCTACTCTTGCTACTTTAGTTAATCCAGCTCTGTACCTTGGATACCCGCAGCATTACAAGGCATATCAGAGAGGGCACGAGGGCAGACGATAGTGCTGCTCTCTATCCTCTGCCCC